ATGGTCTAGCCAGTCGAGACACTACCCTCGAACAATTACAAGACATTTACAGATTTGATACTTAGCTTTAATATATTTTTTATCTGTGTTTTCATGGCATTTGTGGGATCTTGAAATGTTTTTTGTAAGTTTGATAGAGGACATTATGAAATGCTTCATCGTTCTTATTGGATAAAGGTTAGATATAAAATAATCTCAAATTCAAAGAGGAAAGACACAATCAAACAGGCTCCTACAAAGGGTAATAGACTCTATAATTTGGGGAAAATGTTATCTTAATTCCTATCTTAGCTTCTGAATTCTGGAAAGTCTGTAAAGTGCCATCATTTAGCACATTATTCAATGAAACAAAATCAATATAGAAGATTGAGCAATCATCAAATCTTGATCGAAGAAATTAAAGAAATAATGATAGATAGGTTATTCGTATCATGACTTTATTTTCATTATCATGCACAGATACATATCATATCATTATCATACATATATCATAACAATCTAAGACTGTACAATTGTATGTGCATAAGTATACTCATCACATTAAAGCAGTTCATTATTGTCACAGTGGGATGAACGTCATATACACGTAATCCTTTGGTTTTTCTATCATTCATATTTTTCCGATAACAGAAAAAAAATCAGCACGACACCACGTGATAAGATGCCAGAGCAAAATACAAAATAAAAACATATCCGCCATTTGTGAATGTTACGGAAACTTTAGTTATCGTAACTGTTATCACATGTGCTGATAGGAAAGATGTTATTTATTTACAAAGGTTGAAGTGCAACGAAGTAATCTGATTCGTGGATGTTTTGGGGAGCGATAGAGGGTAACAAAATAATACATCACCATACAACTAGTCAACTACAACGTGGCGTTCGATCTGGTTCAAAAATGGAGTTAAACAAGGTTGCTCACTATGCACTGTATTGTCAATTATTTCACAATGAACAATTTCATGGATTTCACAGGAACATATTATCACATTATATTAATAGTCCATTTGTCACACCTATGCATCCTATAGTGAACCTATGAATTGTTAAAACACGATGTTTTTTGGTTAATTTATGACGATAAGGGTTTCCTGAAGAAATTTAGCTGGGTTGGAAAAAAGTTAGTTTGGGGAAAAATAATAAAGGCTAATTAGCGAGGCCATTATTGAAATATTGATTGTTTTCTTTATCTTGAAATGTAAAAATGAAAGACAGCTAAATCACTTCATGAAACCCTTAGGATAGTGATTCCACAATAAAACATCGTGTTTTTACAGATTCAAAGGTTCGGAAAATGACACATCGACTATGACCATTTTTTGTTTAAAAATATACTGGCATAGCATATATATTCTAACCATACTTTCAAACTGCACATGTGACCATTTCAAAGCAACAACTTGTTTAACTTGATTCTAGAATATCTAAGGCACGGGGGTTAAGCAGACCCGATGATACAATGAGCTTGCTCGGCGGTATCATGACTGTGTAACGGGTCTTGATGTATAAGTGAGCTCGGCGGTAGGTTCAAACAACGCGGATCCTCAAAGCATTTGCTCATGGTATCATCGTGGCTTAACACCCGTGTAAGGGGTCTAATGAGAAACACTGATATGATAGGTAGTAAACTACAATTTTTCAAATCTGAATAACAATATAAACTTATTATACTCTTAAATTGCAATTATCAATGTCACGAGACTCGCTACCCCTAGCCCTTGTAACATTAGGGAGGTTAAGTTACACGTACTTATGAGAACCTGTACGTGAGTGTGTAATATTTCGACCCCCGGGGATTACTGTCACGCTCTCAATTCACTTTCCCAGGGACCCAATTACAACATTATTCCCCATATACTTTTATATTCAATCGTTAACACTACAAGTGGAAGAACTAATCCATAGAGGACCATAATTCTACACGTTCGCGTACACGTTTTCTTTAAAACGTAATCTCCCTATTAATATAAAAAGGGAGAACTCACAAATATTTTGTGTCACACACCGATTACTTTAGAGCGATTCTAATGATATTGTATCTTAACATTACATTAGCTGTTTAATAATATACAGGGTGGTCCAAAAATGGGACACTCGTATTTCAAAAATAAATACTGATTTTCTTGATAAAAACATGTCATATTATGGGGAATTTACTCATCTTCAATTTGCTATATAATAAGTTCACATTTATTATAATGTCTGTCAACCAGCGTCCATAGTGTAAATGACGTCATTTTCGTTTCAAAACGTGTTTTCCAAAACATAAAAAAACATTTTGGAAATACGAGTGTCCCATTTTATTGGACCACCCTGTAATAACAGCGCTACATCGCTTTTGAACGTCCAGCTAAATGTTTCACGTACGTATTATCATATTATATGACCGCTGTTTACTAATGAACCATCTATAGAGAGGAACACATATCTACGGGGGGGAAACGTTTGGTCAATAAAGAAGGAGTTCCATGTACACAGGTTTAACTACATATGTTTTAATACAATTGGCAATGTCTTTTCAGAAACCTTCGCTATGGTTGCACTCATATCTTTACTATGTCCATTAGTAAATGGTAAATCGCATGTACATATTCTGTAATAATGTTCAACACTTTTCTATCATATCACATCAAAAACCCTGGTTATATGTGTGTATTGTTCATTGGCATTTCTTGTAAAAAAGTCTTGCAGGGTCGTTTTTCAAATCCAATCTTTTACGTTACACATTTCTGTAAAATTCCCTGATAGGATCTTTCCTTATTTAAATTCTCATATTTACATTGACTTACATGAATTAAAAAGTCGCATCCCTGTATGCAATTAACTATAGAATGATTATTAATCTTAATTTAAATAACTATACATTGCACGTTCAGGCCTCCTAGACTTTCACCAACACGAACATGAGTTCTGACATCGCGAACTACGTTCCTTGCACTCGAACCACGGTTCTCACATCGCGAACGTATTTATCTTTAGTCGCGCACCACCATTTCCTCGCTCCCGAACATATTTCTGTACTCCCACACAGAGATCCGTGCCCGCGAACCACTATCTACGCGGTGCGCGACTAAAGACATTGCACAGAATTGGTCGAATAGCCGATAGATGTCATTCATTGATTAAACATGACGTCATATTTGAGATCTTAAGATAAATCTGACGTCATGACGTCAGTGCCATACAAACTGAGATTGTCTTGTTTTTTGACGTCATTCCAATGTAATGAACCAGTTATATCACCAAAAGTTAACATATTTTGTTTGAAATTGGCCGAAAGGTTAAAGGTATGAGGATTCTAATCTCAACGGAATCAAACAGATCTACCTTCAAAGTTACAGAAACCTGAGATGAATAAGGCTCCACGTGTATTTTACTACTCCTACCACACCGTTGAAGTTTACTCCTTTCATCATTTTGCTTTGACTTCAATGGAGTAATAGGTGATTTTTGTTAATTTATTTCAAAGTTATTTCGCCGAAAATTTGTGACACCTAGATTGTTCAAAGTGGGTTAGATTGATAGGCATTAGTACCTAGTTACAGGAACCTGAGATGAATAAGGTGCCATTTCAAAGTCCCGCGTTCTGTTAACGTTCAAAAGTTTTCAACTGAGGAAATCCCATTGACTTTTAAAAACCGGAAGTCAAGGTTTTGCGTATGCGCATTGTATTTTTGGAAAGATTCTGGGCAATGATTTCACGTTCGCGAGGTCAGATCTGATGTTCGCTTTGGTGGAATTCTAGGGGGCCTGACATTTATAAATAACTGTACAGTGCATTGTTTGTTAAAAAAATTCAAACAGCAATTTAAATAACAAAATTATGTGCCTGTCGTATTCAATCAGGACGCTTCCTAGTCAACTCGTACCCAAGACAAGTCGTACCCAAGACAACTGGTACCCAAGACAACTGGTACCCAAGACAAGTCGTACCCAAGACAACTGGTACCCAAGACAACTCGTACCCAAGCTTATTTTCAGTATTATGGGTGCATATTAGGGAAAAAATTGAATTTGTAATGCTTTCATGTTATAATGTGACATTTTTTCTCAATGGATCAGTTGTTATGCGGTAAACACGATACAAAAATATGTCATATTCCGCAACGAATATGGCATATTCACTTGCGGTGTATGACAGATTCACCTGCGGTATATGGCATACACACTAACCAATGAGAACGTGATGCGGAAGTACGCAATTGTCAATTGCATCGATTGAACGAACAAGTAAAACGTTATAGATTATTATAATGATTATTGAATCAACAGTACTGTGTATCGAATATATTAACTTAGCAGAAGTATCAGTCACCAATCTCGCGTAATAAACTTACTCAGTCAATCCAGGATTCATATATTAGTACTCGACGCACTAACTATATTGGTAATCCAGCGTATAGTTTTACATTTAGAGTCGATTCTCGCAACCAATCAAATCAACGCTTTCTGTATCACGTTTTCACCTGCGGTATATGTCATATTCACCTGCGGTATATGGCATATTCCGCAAGTGAGTATGACATATTCCGCAGGTGAGTATCGGGTATTCACTGAAATCAATGTATCGCATATTCACTGCGGAATATCGCATACTCACTTGCGGAATATGCCATATACCGCAGGTGAGTATGGCATATTCACCTGTATCACAAATACCGCGCAACCATGAATGTATCCCATATACCGCGTAACATCAGTAAAGCATTTTTTTATTAAATAAAAAAGTGCTTGAAGCGCTTGTTCTCAATATTTTTTTGTCAAACATATATATAAATAAATATAATTACAACATTAGATCTGACACTTGTTCCAAACACTCATAAACATACAATATTTTGACAAATGATTATAAACATATGTCTCTTCACTCGAACATCCTGAATCTGTGACCAATATAAAATAGTAGTCAATATAAATTGACACTCAGCTCAAAATGTCAAAAAATTAAATCAATTTCTTCCGAAAATTCTTCTTCAAACTTTAAACTATTCTGAACAGTATGTTACAATTATAATATGTATATCTATTCACATTCCCAGTTCAATGCTTGATTCAAAACAAAATATATACTTGGGTACGAGTTTACGACTTGTCTTGGGTACGAGTTGACCAGTTACCATCAGGACTATGGTTATTTAGAAAGGAACAATGATCCCCGGGGTCCATTATTACTGTCCCAACACGGACCAGATTTAAATGTCCCCTGAGAAAACTGTACCCTTCTTCTTTTTTGCCCTATTTCCAACTGAGCATATGACCAGCGTTGCTACTAGAGAAGGGGCAGTGACGCAACAGAAGTTATTCCTACCTCACTTACAATTATTAATATGGCGTTCAGTTAAAAGGGCAAAGGTTTCCCCAAACGAAGTACTAGATACATTGTCGTATTAATCAGTCTATCACACGCTTAGGTCCGTTAACACTTCGATTGGTGGCTTTGATAGTTTGTGTTTGGGTTGGCGGCTGACGTAACCGTATTACCACTCCCCCTCCTCGCGCCGTTGAAACTATAATGTGACATCGAATGTGTCTGGGTGTTGTGATCTCCCCTCGAATAACCACTCATAGACGAGGAAGTCGGTATGACTTCCTTGGGCAAGCAGCATAAAAGATATCGGTGGTAGAAATGACGAAATTGCTTACTCAGAAGGTACAGCGCCAATGGGTTAACGCATGAGTTCATGAACATCAAACAAAAACCTATGATCTTGAACGTGTGCCAGGCCATGTTGTATTCACTCTCGTCGAAGTGAAACCAAATGAGATAGATGTGCCTCGGAAGCCAACAGAAGAAGAAGATTCCTATGAAGGAGAGAACCAGCATTGCTACCTTGAAGCGTTCCTTGGTTTGCCGTACGTGTTGGTTACTGACGCTGCTGCTCTGTCCAGCTGTTCGCGTGGACGTCATCGACGTCATCAAAATGACCGCCATTATTACATACATCGGTGTAATAATCAGCATGGGAACGACAAAGTAAACGATAAACCTAACCATAGTGTGCGCCTTGGGATAGGCCTCTCCTAGGGCCTCGGGATAGAATCGACAAAGCATCATCGGTTGGGTTGCATTCGGAGGACTGTAGGGTGCCTCAATTACGAATGATGTCACAGCGTCCGGTATTGCAAGAATTATAGACGCCATCCAGATAAATACAGCGAAAACGATCGTCCGTAACATTGGGTTTCCTGTATGCTTTGCCATGGGGTAGACAATGGCTATGAATCTATCTGTTGACAGTGCCGTCAACGTAAAAACCGAAACACCTAAAGACAGTGATTGTACGAATACGTTCAGTTTACAGACAGCTTCGCCAAAATGCCAGCCTGTGAAAGTATAGAGCACGCTGCTAAATGGTACGGAGAAGGCGATCAAAAGAAAATCCCCCAAAGCTAAGTTTGTAATGTAGATATTTGGAACATTTCTCATGTTTTTGTTCAATGCAACAATTAAGATGACTGTCCCATTTCCAATCAAACCGATGATAAAGAATATACCGAAGACAATTGGAACTGCCGTAGCTTCAGGCATGTCTGATATGTAATGTACTTCGTAATCATAATAATCATCCCCGGGGACGACCATGGATTCATTCTCCGACGTGTTCAGCATGCTAGGCATCATCTCGCTGGAAACAATAGGCTCATCAGCCAAGGACGTGATCGCATCATCACCAGCCATCTCGAAATCTGTAAGAAAATCACAATCGAATATTATTATTTGATTGCAATTTGTAAAACATGATCATTTCAATGCGCGCTTTTGTTACATGCTTATTAGTAATGCTTAAAACTACTCATTAGCTGAAATGGTGATCTGCCTTTTTGACACACACTAATCGTCAAATTAAAATTCTTTCTCATGATAGATATTCTGCTTTGTTTCAAGATACAGGTATGATGGAATTTAGAAGTCTGGTTTTATCGAAAGTTTCAAAAACTAAAGTTTCTCGCTAATAAGTCCATGGGCGCTTATTTGAAAGAGGGGTGTAAAAAGAAAATTCCCTCTTTCCAAAGGCCCATTAGCGGTCTGTCCGAGTTCTTCGAGCATTTCTATTTAACGCCAGTAGACAAAACATTCGAAATGGGGCTTCATATGCATTGCCCAAGAACAACTTTTATGTGCTACTTTTATGTACCATTTATTACTGTTGTTCATAAATAATGAACAAGTACTTGCTCTCCTTTTGGGAATAAAATACATGATATGGTGTGATTGTCGGATTAATCTTTTTTAAATCGTATTTATAGTAATTGGACTTGGTTAAACAGAAAGATTTCACACACGTTTTACTATCGTCTCTAATCCTATTCGCGAATTATTTCCGTTCCAATTTTGCCTTTTATTTCTCATTAATCGCAAAACCATTTGTCCATATATTGTCAATGGAAGTTTGCATTTTCTCCTTTCGTTGGCAGCAACCATATCATAATCATGTGTGGCAGAAGTAGCAAACATATAGAACAAGGCATAACCATGCAAACGTTCACCACCTGTCATTTGTTACAGACGCTGAGTGCCGACCGCCGAACACCTTCCGCCGATCGCCAAACATGTACACCATCCACAAAAAAAGTTGGAAACTATAACAATATGTATTTACGTTTACGGAGAAATTACAAGATCGCAATTATGATATTCGATCCAAATCAAAAAAAAACCTGAAAACTAAATGCTGAATACAATAAGTTATAGTGTTGTTATTTCGTTTTCACTTCACGTAAAGTTTTAAGGGGCGCAGGCATTTTGAAAATAATTTTGTAATTTGTAATTTACCATTTCAAATGACCTATAAATGTGACCTTGACATCCTCTGACTCGAAACCGTTGACATAATGTTTTTCAAAGAGCAGAATTCAAAGTTCGTCCTATTTGATATTTTTGTTGACCTTGGACAATATGTGACCTTGGCGTACCATTAGGCCTGAAGTGTACAATAATGAACCAAGGGCTCTGACCTTTTACACGGGGGTAAAGCAGACCCGATGATACCACGAGCTTGTTCGGCGGTATCATGGTTGTGTCACGGGGCTTAGTGTATTAGCGAGCTCGTCTGGCCGGTCTGGTCTGGTATGTCCAGGTCGACTTGGATCCTGAAATGCTCATGGTATCATCGTGTCTGTTTTACCCCCGTGTTTCACATATATTATAGTCTATGCTTTTTGAGTCGAAGTTTAACATAGATATCATCTTCATTTGTTAGGTTGTCTCCTAGATATACCACTGAAAAACGAATTGAAAATTTCATATAAAAATCGATCGTCTATAATTAAATGCTAAAACGATCATTTGACGATATAATATATTTACCTCTACAGAATGGGTCACTAAAGCCAACAAGATGTGTTTTTACAATATTTTGCTCTCCGCTCTACTTGACCCAAAGGCCAATTTCAAGAACATAATTAGTTGTGTAAACAGCGATTCAAGAAGTATGTGAATCAACTTTGTATTTAGATTGGCTTAAAGGTTCATTCTTTTGCAAGAAATTACCGACAATATAACAAGGAAATGGTACAATGTTTCCAAATACTTCTCTCTGTACATATGCACACTCTGTATACACAGTGAAATTCTTGACTAAAAGCGTCTAAATCAAGAAAGATAAGGCAAAATACTTATGGCTGTTTCTTAGCTAAGCCCATCTTGACCGACCGAGGATTTTGAAATTCAATAATTGAAGTAATCATTACGGATGATAGTAATGAGGTAAGGCATCATAATATATAGTTAAGTGCCTCTGATCTCAATGTTGTTATGAATTCAATCAGGTATTATGCCATGGTCAGATTGGTATTATCATAATTAAAAACATGCATGTAAGTGTTAATCCTAATTAATAAAGTTGATTAACTAAATATCCAGTTTTGATCCATCCAGTGGATGAATAAAATGAACCAAAATTAATGAAAATAATTACTCGCTTCGCTAAAGAGAAAATACTTATTGCTCTTGATATGTGTTTGAGGGTATTTGGCTCATCAGACCAATCCAAAATATTGCAAGTCTGTATATTCAACGATATTTACATTTTTCATAAATGAAAACTGAAACTAAAAAAAAATGTAAATAGATTTTTGCGATGAAGAAGTGTTCATTGTTGTAATAACATAGCAGTAAATAAGCAAAATAATTTGATGATAGAATTAAGCAGCGAATTGAACTTACGTTTAAATGGTCAATTATCTTTCATCTTCATAGACTAATTTTCCATAACAATCCATATTACATTACACTACTCGGCTACGACTTGGGTACTAGATATAGTATTAGAATAGCATTCATTAGCAATATGATGAAATCTGTACCTTTTGTAGCTATATGTAGCCAGTAGTACATTTCATTTTTTGACCTGGGTCAATTTTTATTTTCTTAGAGATAATCAAAAATATTTTGATATAATATGATTATTGGGATATAACATTATGAAACACCCTGTAGTTAGCTAGGTACTAGTATCGGCCTATGGTAAAAAATTAAATCGATCGAGTAGAGTACAAGAAATGGGGTCGAGTTTGGGAGGTCAGACATACCTGTTTGAAAGTGAAAATGAAATTTGTAAACCGTATTCTTCTAATTTCTCAGTCAGTTTCATTGGAAGAAGCAAACAAACGTGACCAGCAATTTTGTCCAGTTTTTCTTAAAATGCTTCTAGACCATTTCCAAAAAACGAAATTATGACTGTAAATGTAAAAAGTATTCTTGGAACAATGTTGGAGAATGATGGGCATTGCCCCCTTATTTTCAAAACCATTAATCGTGTTTCTGTAAGTTAAAAGTGTATTTTGAGACGAACCGCTGGAGAAATGCCACGCCCATTTTTGCCAAAATTGACGCTTTTTCGGCCTGTGGCTTAGAAAAAGGAACACCTATGTTTTGATGTTAGTGGTGTTTCGCGTGATTCGAGCCCTGATATAGGTGGCGCGCAAGTGCGATAAGTCAACATATAGGTCACGTGACTCACCCTGTGCCAGACGAAGAAGTCAACTTTTCTCTTACAAGATAACTTTGTGCTACATTATTCTACAGATTTGAGGATTCAATAGACAAGGAGAAACATTCATATATTCTCGCTAGAGTCTAGGAAACTATATTTGAGAAAAAGTTGAATACCATTAGCAAAAATCGAAACCTCCAGGTTGTATCCATAATAAATTTCTAGCACATGGGTGTCACTTAAAAACCAAAAATTTGAATGTGTTAGACTACCTTCTCAGATATATATTGCTGTCTTGCTGAACTGCATCATGTAATTCACAATATACCAAATAACTTAATTTCAAAGGGCAATATAGTAAAATCTTGGCCATAGTACTAATACTCTGATCTCGCAAGGCCACGCAATGTGGAAGGCATTGTACTATGAAAACCGTTGTTTATGCTCGTGACTTCATATCATCCTTATCGAGGAAATGGACTATTTTCTTAAGAGAAAACCGGACAATTTCTGGATGTGGATGTTGTTATTTGAATATCCGTTTATATCTGAAACCATCTTTTCTTGAGTGATTAATCTAACAATCGTTGATTCTTGCACTAAAGTGATGAAAGAGGGCATGAAAATCTATAACAAGAGATATCACTGTTCCACAGCTGGATGACTCTAACTGCAGTTAGCGTCATTCAAGATGGTTGCCGAAATTCTATAAACTAAGTTTAATCTGGATTCCAAAAGTTTCGCCATGCAAACTAATTAAGCTACGATTGTAAGCAATCACATATAAATGTTCTGACAACCGCGATATGAGGGAAAGAAAACAGCTTCACTTAGAATGACTCTAACTGAAGTTGTCATCATCAACTTCAGTTAGAGTCATTATAAGTGAAGCCGTTTTCTTTCAAATTCTATAATATCGCGGGTGTTTGGGCATTTATTTGTGTTTATTTACAATCATAGATTTGAACTATGAACTTTTAACGCAGAATTTAAAACACCAGTATTCAAATCTGCAAAGGGTGGTATGTACAGTATATCAAGCTTAGATTTAAACAATGTTTAATATTAGGCGTTCAAAATGGAAGAAAATTAATCCATATTCTTGCTTTTAAAAGATCTAGAGAGAGTTCATTGCGATAAGTGTGAATTCTTGCATCAAAGTTTACCTCACGATTCATATACAAAATGAAACAAAACACCGTGTAAGATGTTATTACTTTTCTTTGCATTCATCAGTCATGTCATCGCTAACAGCATTTGCGAAACAGAATGTTTGACCTTGATAAGCTGTTTTATTGGGCAACACGAAATGTCAGTGCGTCTTTGAGAAAACATTCTCAGACCAAAGCCATTATGATTACGTAAAACATACGAGTACTCGCCAGTACACAGTACAGCTGCTCTGCTACGCTAGGAAATCCTCTTTGTAAAAAAATAAAAAATGGTTTTCAATTTTGTATTATTACTTAAAGGTGCAATAATTAGTGCAGAGGGGCCATTCAACGATCATGGACCAGTGTCAAAATATATTTAAGTTTGGATATTTCATCAAGACTAACATCTATTTTTATTATCTACAAAGAAACCCCCTAGATAAACATTATTTTAGCTGATATTCCTCTTGAAACATGGTGGATCTTAAAAATATAAAAGTGGAAGTCCCCTTTTTGAAGCTTTGAACTGAATTAACACTTCTTAATGCTGAAATTGATAATTTATCCATACATTTTAAGAAAATAGGTATGTCAAAGAAGATGTTAAACCAAATGTTGCTTTGATAGCTCAGAAAAAATGAAAAAAAATTCCTATTTTCTCTACAGTCCTTATTGCCCCTTTAACATAGGTTTGACCCAAAAACTTGAACGGAAGTTAAAAAGAATATTTTTTAATTTGCATAATCAATATTGCAAAATTGGTGAATAATACGTTGAAAGATACATCGGCGTCAGTAACGTCAAATGTTGTCTACATTTTCCGATTACCGGTTTAACGGATATCGTGAAAACTCACTAGCGCATTAATCGAAATCTTACACCTTTTAGATGCTCAATGAAAGTCCACTTTTTACGTCAATATGCGTAATGGCTACACAAAATTACCCAAATTATTTCATTTTTAGGATTAATGACTTGAAATGAAAACTAACATGTAATTGAATTGAATTTTTGCTTGAAAAATACCCTTGTTTTCAAATTAAATCAATTTCACAAGTCAAATCTTTAAAACAATACCCTTTCACGAATTCCAGGCGGATTCCTGAAATTAGAGATCTAGAGCTGACAGTTTTTATAAGTTTGATACGAGATACCCCTCGCGTTGCGGATTAGATGCAATGTAAATAATTAGTAATTCTTAAAACGCGGTTTGCAATTACAAACAAAACAGTTGATAATAGCAGAAAAGCTCAATTTGACAAGCAACATATTGTCTAAAAAACAAATACTTGACATTTCTTAATTTAATTCTACAAGAAACATAATATTGTTCAAATCGAGTCTGAGATATTTTTTAACAAAGGCGATACTTACCTAGGACTCTCCTGCAGTTTTGTGTTATGTCTTGAAATGTCTCATCTCGAGTCTCTAGGCGCTTTCTAAACGTCTTTTAGCTGTTGAGTGTCATGATCTTCACTTCATTAAGATTCTATCGGCTGTGGAAATCGGTCTCACTCACTATTCATCAAAATTACTCCTTGAGGGGCTCAAATTCGATGTCCCCCTAATACGAATTCCGAATGCAAATATTTCGAGAAATCTTTACTGATGATTTTCAAATACACGATTGTGAATATTATGACAGTGAATATAGTTAATTTAGCTAGATTAAATTTCCAAATTCCATAATCTTATTTCGATGAATTTGATATTCTCAGTTGGACACGCTCGAGTCTCTAGTTCCATTGATTGGATCGCCTCGATCTGTGAAAGAGTCAACACTTTGCGAGAAGTGGATAGCGTACTGATGAGCTATTTACATCTTCCTTAAGTAGTCCCTTAATTAGATAAGAGAGGTTAATAAAGAGAGTAACCAGCGAATAACAGACCACTTTGCCCAGTAAATTCTAATCAACATTTAGGCGATGAAGTTGCGGAAGCCATTCATCACGCAAGTTCGTCCCTTTAGCTCGATGCACTCTTGAAATACTGGTCTTGGACAGTTGAACAGCTTTAAGATCCAGAAAGTATCAGACAGTGTCTTTAAGAGTCCCGTGCATGCATGGTACATCGCAAATTCACTTCCCAGCTGTAGAATCCGACTTTCATAACTTCATACAATCTCTTAACGGTCCCCGGATTGGTTATACTTTCATCACGTGATTTTGAAGCCGATTCATAACTCCGCGAAAGCCTTCCAGATATTGTTTATCAACCGCCCCGAGCCAGGGGGCCATTTCCTGAAAAAATGTACCAGGAGATCACCTCTAGACCAATATCAAGTTACAAAATCAGGATAACAAGAGCCTAGAACGTCTTAACAATATCTTTACCATACATATTTGATCAACGTCTTAATCGATGTTACATATCAACGTGTCATCCATCTTGGCTTGACACTGATAAATATTTTTGCATTTTCTATCCGTTGTGTCAACATAACAAAAACATAGTTCTAATCATAAGTGATAAACAGCAATGTATTTAGTTTACTAATAAGATTCACGTTTCTCCAGATGAATCCATTTGATTTGTCCACTACATTGTAGGACTTATACGTGTGGTCTAGTCTGGCGTTTCTTTTGTGTCTATTCAGAGCTTCTTACTGGCTAACAATATTCTAAAGTTATGTAACACAAGAAACAATTGTTTTCAAAAAAGTTACGAGGGCGCAGAGGCGAGGGCGCAAGTAAACAAGGTCAGCATCTTTCCAGTTTCCATCGCTGACGACTTTGCTACTTCGTGGAACCGCTGGCGGTGACCGGGCGCTGTGACTCTTTAAGACCTTTATTCTTGGCCCATGCTAGAACCAAGGATTGACGTCCTCGCAATAACGTACCTCTATAAAAAATTAAACCGTATCAATACAACAACGGGATAAGCTTTGGAATAGATTATTGGCCGAATTACTTGCTGTGAATACTATTTTAGGTTGGCACAACTGATATGATCGAAACATCGTGATCTCCATGTAAATACTCTTATTGTAATGTTTGTTTTACATGTCCTAATGTTTAAACTTGGTATGATAAATGTTTTCAAATCTTCCATTGCCTCGAGTGTAGTTTTTAAATATATGAAGCATAGAGCAATTATGTAAAAATAAGTTCGTATTGTCATCGATGTGAACCCAAAGTGGTAGACCTGATAATTAAAAGATAAATGTAAACAAACAAAACAAACAAACAATCAAACAATCAAACAAACAAACAAAAAACCAATGGATGAAATATTTTAATGAAAGTGGTTATCTACTCTTAAAATGAAATACAAATGTAATATTATATTATCATGTAATCATTTTATTTTAACACATGCAAAAATCGCGAGATCTGCCAGGTACATGATTGTATATCTTTACCACTGTATTTATTGAGGCACGCTGATGATCTATAAGACTCAGAAGATACATTTTGATGGCCATAATTTATAGTTACACGATAAATAGATAAAATACAGCAGTTCTATGCTATTGTGTTGTATTTTTATGACCCGTATCTCCAAATCAATTATTATTCAAAACAATTCATTTCATAATCCCTTTCACATGTTCGATTTGATTTACACCCGTGCATTTACACCGGTACCACGTAATACATCACAGTTTATGCCTCGCAAATTATATTTATTGAACAATATAAATTGATGAATGCCAAGTGCAATGAAAGTGAAAGTCCAGAGCAATTGCCGCAGTGGTAATATTAGCAATTTAATACTCTCTCTGGCGAATCCTTGTTTGATAAAAACCAATATTTATTAAGGCCAAAATAGAAGAGCGTTTATGTTTGTACAGAATCGCCGAGTTAACGTTATAGTTATCTCTAAGATGAACTGGATTAACTTCATTTGTCATAATAACGTCATTTTGTATGTTCTAGAGCTTTATCAGTGTAATACATTGCAATGCACAGGTGAAAACTAACTTAACACGTACAATGCCAGCTGCACCAAAGCCAAAGCCAATACAAATACATTTCAAGCTGATTTAGTTCCTTCGATAACTGAAATCACAACTTTCCTACTAAAACGGACGAGCTGATTTGTAAAGCAAGTTGCGAAACCGAAAGGCGTAATAAAACATTAGATTGTAGGTTTTTAGATAATTCTAACGACCTGTTGGGAGATTTAATAGACAAAGATCGTTTTAGCGGCACCTTTGTGATATCACTGGATCATGTATCTGATATATGATTCCTCCAATTGTCGGAGTAAGACACACATGTCCTATTGATGAACAACTAGATCAGAATTATCGCCATCTGTAGAAAATACAGTCTCCAAAACCCACCCGATAAATAACCTTACGTGCGAAACTGTATACGCTGATTTAGTGAATCGTTTTAAGAAATAATACTCACTAAAAGCAGTTCACGACATTTGATGCATTTAAGAGCGGGTTTGGTGATATCTTATATTGAAAAAGCCATTTAGGTTAATTCAAATAACTCGTTTCTTGTCTACTAAAAGCTACGTCTAACTTTGACATAAATAAACTGGTTTCAGTTTTATTGCGGCTTGGTTAATCAAAATTCGAAAGAAGGACGAACAATTATGGCATGTCCATACATTTTCTTCCAAGCTGAATCTTGGAGTGATTTTATAAAGAATGATTGTGTAGGGTGCTTGCATATTAAATTTGCTATTTTCAAGTTTAAGTGAGCAATTGGTCTCAATCAAAAGTGCAATGGACAATTATTATTTCCATCATGTTTTACTAAAAAGTTTCGAAAGTATTAATAGATCGACCCTCTATCACCCAAATTTTTTCACGTCACAAATAAAACATGGACTCACATTAATAGCGTGTCATATAGTGCGCTGGAAAAAGAGAAATTAAAGAAATATACTCCCCTCCAAAAGTATGACAAACAAAGTGCCCTTTCGGAAAACGTTTTCAACAAACCGACATATAAACTTTGTCACAAATCCGATCAAATTCTACATTAATTGAGGAATATTAATAATTTTCAAAGATAAAAAAACCTTAAAACACTAGCCAATGGTGATTTTTGGTTGCCAAATTTCTAGAGGGGAGGGTGAACGGATGTAACGACTAAGTTAAATGTAAGACATATTTAGTCAAAGATCGTGATGAAAAAGTACAAATCCATAAACTAAATTAAGTCAAACAATCTTGGAGTACGCTGACATAGAAGCAATTAAAAAGATTTACTAGATTTTTCCAAACATAAGCCAATTTTAGATATTCTACATGAATGAACTTTTTTCATAATTGTTGTAACTTAATCTAAATTGAACAGTGCTCCCAAAGTTATAAAAATGACTACTGTAAATAGATGATAAATATTAAATAAGCACTTTGGGGTCAAACAACAATAATACAATGAAATTGAAATCTTGATACACATCACAGGCCCGTAGCCAAGGCTAGAAATGTTTTCGAAATCATGCAGTTTTTCACCATTATGAGCACTTTTCACGCTTTTTTAGCCAAAACTGTCAAAAAGCTCCCCCTTGGTAGAAGCTCCCCTTGGTAATATCTGGCTACGGGCAAGCATCACATGGTCATACTGAATAGACCAAACCACAGACACGTGATCGAACAAGAGTTCATCCTCCACCCACCCACTAGGTCGCTTTCTTACATTATACAGTGAGTGGGGGGGGGGGATTTTAATCTTCTTCCTGGGCCTTTGGACCAAACACTATAGTTGACTGTTCAAAAAGAAAACTCACTATAAAACATCATTATTGAAAGTCAAAATTGAAATTAAATATAATACATAACAAACATTTCGAGAGATTATAATTATAATATTCTAAAAGGTGAAACAATTTGCTAAAGCCTGTCAAATGGCGGCCGCACGTCGACCGTAGCTCCCTTAAATCGGTAATTGTTTGCGTCAAACATAGGGAAACTATACGGTTGCCTATTAGGTTCGCAAATGCGGTTACAGGAAGAATGGTCGTATAAATTATAGCTCGAAATTTTGACTTACATTCCTGCTGTCACTGTAGACATCAAATTTGCAACCATACCGTAGAAAGGTCCCAAAGTCGACTTGAGGCTGCGCTTGGATTTTATGGGTTACAATTGACCTTTGCAAACCGCAGGATCGTAGTTAGGCTCCTCCACATGCTGCTGCCTCTTGTCTACCTTGGTTTTTGTCAACAGAAAATTGCAGCCACCGTAGGATGATCTACTCTGACCAGGCGTCTTTATTTATCAGCCGTACGGCAACCGTAGTTTTTATGTCTCTCCAAAATAGCACCAATTTTAAGACAATGTAGGACATTATGCTTCAATCACACTTGATCTACGGTAACCGTACGGCGGGCGTAGCTTACCAAAATCGAGAGAAATATGCAGTATAAAATATAGGGATAATGTAAGAAGTACGATGTAGATTTTCTCTTTCGATTTTGAGAAGCTACGGTCGCCGTATGCTCGTCGTAAAGCAAGTATGACCGAGGCAAGCCGGAAAATGATAGACCGTACGGTTGCCGCAGCAAATGTGACTGATATTTTACCAAAGATATACGTGTATAAAGCCTATTTGCATTTTCAGCTAAAAAACGAAACAAAGAAGAAAATTGAAACAGAAAACAGTAACCCCACGGAGTAATAGCAAATCCCAGCGAACAAAACATTTTTTGATAAATAGCGCCTTCTTGAAAATTTCTTCTTGAACTTTGCCCCTGGGTATCAACATTTAATTTAAACCTAATCCGTCCGATGGTATTTGAAAATTTAGAAATGCAGCTATTGTTACGCGGTATATGGCATACATTCATGGTTGCGCGGTATTTGTGATACGGGTGAATATGCCATACTCACCTGCGGTATATGGCATATTTTGCAGGTGAGTATGCGATATTCCGCAGTGAATATGCGAATATGCGATTTCAGTGAATACCCGATACTCACCTGCGGAATATGTCATACTCACTCGCGGAATATGCCATATACCGCGGGTGAATATGACATATACCGCAGGTGAAAACGTGATACAGAAAGCCTTGATTTGATTGGTTGCGAGAATCGACTCTAAATGTAAAACTACGCTGAATTACCGATATAGTTAGTGCGTCGAGTACTAATATATGAATCCTGGATTGATTGAGTAAGTTTATCACGCGAGATTGGTGACTGATACTTCTGCTAAGTTAATATATTCAACACACAGTACTGTTGATTCAGTAATCATTATCTATAACGATTTACTTGTTCGTTCAATCGATGCAATTGACAATTGCGTACTTCCGTATCACGTTCTCATTGGTTAGTGTGTATGCCATATACCGCAGGTGAATCTGTCATACACCGCAAGTGAGTATGCCATATTCGTTGCGGAATATGACATATTTTTGTATCGTGTTTACCGCGTAATAGCTATCTTGAAAATTTCTTCTTAAAGCAGAGCTCCTTTGTCTATATGCACCAGCATTCAAAATGTGACCTAAATCTGTCAACCAGTATTTCTAGTTCTTTTACGAAAAATAGCGGTCATTTTGAAATTCAGCTGCCATCTTGGAAATTCCTTCCCGAGCAGAGATACTGTGTCACTAGGCAACGGCATATGATTTGAATCAAATCCGTACATTGGTATTTCAGTTATATTATGATAAACATGCTTAGATGGACTACATGCTGTTGCGCCATACACATTAGCTGTGGAAATGTAGAGGTTTCCTCAGCTGCCTCCAACTTCCATCAGAGTAGACATCTCAACTAAGGGAATGAGCGGTAAATGCTTGAAACCGACTTGCGACGGTCTATGGTAGGTTTAAAAAGCGCTTTATGGTCGACCAACGCTCACCTTTTCACATCTCCGCTCAAGCTTGAAGAAGGGGTTAAAGGTATTACTTTTATACGAAACAAAGGCTGCCACTTTGAAATTCAGAGGCCATCTTTGACCAGAGCTCATTTGTTCCTAGGAATCAGCATATAAAAGGTGAACCAAATCCGTCAACTAGTTATCAAAGATTACATTTTTAGGAAAATGGCGGCCATTTAGGATTGATCTACCAGCTTGAAAATTCCTTCTCAAAGGTCCTACACCCATAATGCATCAGCGTATAAAATTTGAATCAAATCTGTCAACCGGTATTCGAGTTATTGCCCGGACACATACAGACGGACGGACGGGCGGCTTCTCTATATACTCCCCGTGGGTGAGATAAAACGGATAAGATCCCTGCTAATGTTAATAAAAACTTGTCAACGTACTTGCTTGAACAACTTCAGGCCTTATTGACTCGGACAAGAGAAGATCCCAGGAGATGCACACACTGTGTAGTGTCAATATATTGCCATAGAATACAAAAGTACGAAAGGCCCTCACAGGGGAATTGTCTGTTTAGTGGGATTAAAAGTAAACGACCAGTTTGGTGAACAATGTTTCAATTTATCCAACTATGTATCAAGTGTTAATCAACTTGGACGTTGAAGATGAATCGCTGATTGGATGGGCAGGCATGTCTTTTTTTCACTTGTTGTAAATTAAATGGTAAAAGACTGGAAAATCCTTAAAAGGTCTTACTAGTCATGGGCGTAGGGCTATATTTTAAATTGGTACGCCCACTTGGGGATGTCTGATTGCATGGCAGAAGGCCGCGCATCTTTGTCGGTCCGGGAATTTTTTTTTTGATAAAACTTAACGATTAAATATACAAATACAGAATCATCAATAAATGTGCAAACAAATTATTGCATTTGACACATTTTCCGGTTTCCAATTCGAAGCCCGTATTTACATAGATGTTCTTTTTGATTTAAAACAGAGAGAGATTTGAAGCCTACATTGTACATACAAAATTCTTCCAGTCAAAATGTATCTGCATGTCTTATCGAGCTCAAAAACCGACTAAGCTGTCTACCCGATTGTCCATGGTCTCATTTGATTAGGTTTACATTTGAGTCAGGCCACGGGAAAAGGGGTCTTATCACAGATTTTTTCAATATCTTGATTTTTTGTTTATCTTAAAAAGCACAGAGGACCATTCAAATGAGCCATGACTTATGTCTCAACAGTTTTTCCTTGCAGATATAGATCGAAAAGATGGATTTGAATTTAGCACAATTTCCTCTTACTCGTGAGCACATTTTTTGGCTCTGTAGCACAATTTTAATTTTTGTGATAAGACCCGTTTTCCTATAGCGAGGCCCATTTAACAAATTGTTACTTGACGACTCAGCATTCGTTATTTTCCGCACATCTGCACGCTGTATTAACATACTTTCAATTAACTCATCCAGGCAAATAGTCTTACCTAATATACGAATCTACGAATGAGCAGAATTTACAATTAGAGCTTTCTAATTAACACTAGTACCATATAAGAAACTGATGAATTAAACGCTATTCAATATAGAAATCTGATGTCGTTGATTGAGATTCCAAAGGCAGGTTGAAACGATTACCTCTCCAGTTTATATATTGGAATCAATTGTGAAAATACCATTGCTGATGGAAACAATCGTCTTGCCTATTCATTGGAATTGTTCCCATGAATGGAAATAGTTTTGTAGAAAATGTTTTGCATACAAATATCAAAGTGTGTATCTGCGCAATTGTTGGTATTTTAATGGGATTTGTAATAAACCGCGGCATAAACCACAATCTTTTAATGAATCAGTGAGTTTTTATTTTAACATAGTTGCTCCCTGATATGCAAGATTAGGCGAGGCACAGTGCTAAAAGATTAGTCTAGCTACAAGCTCTTGTAAGCCCCCCCCCTTCAAGTTGTGTTGGTGAAGTATATGAGGGTCCATAGCCTTGGAGCAAGACTACTAAAAGATTAAGAGGGACATTAGTATTAGTCGTTTGAAAAAATTGCACGAACGCTACTCCCGAGAATTGTTACATGAAAGTCAATGGAGATTTAAGTTGAAATGATTATGTAAATGTCACGATAATTGTTCAGTCTGATGTTTTCTTCTTTCAGCCACATTTGATCTATGACAACAGTACCTTCCCAAAATCGGGAGAAATATGTAGCATAAATAGGGCTAAGTAGTACGATGTAGATTTTCTATATCGGTTTTATGAAGCTACGGCCGCCGTACGCCCGCCGTAAAGCAAATGAGACCGAGGCTTCATGGAAGTTGTGTTTATTTGCAAAAATACATTTTTTGACATCCTACCCAGTTCTAAATTAAAAGACATGACTAAGCCCTCATTTTGATAAAGTGTCAAGTTTTCTCACGACTACACCTTTTACCCTAAAATACTATTCTTTGGTGACATTTTAGAATAATACAAGGAGCGATCCATATATTGTGATAAAAATGCTCTCATTTATTTTAATTTTTGGAGTTAATTAAACCAAGATGTGTTTGCACAAAAGAAGCTAATATATTTGAGTATAAAATGATAAAACATAATATTTATTCTCTTAATATTCTGTCCGCACGGAACATACATTTGGTAACCATAGAAACGATATGCAGGTCAATTATTATTTATTATCTATTTATTCATCTATATGTGATAGTTTGGTTATATTTGTGGTTATGTTCAATTCAAAGTAGTATCCCCCTGCATCATAATGTACCTCCTATGATGTCCAATCCACTGGTCATAGACATCGGGGTTTTTTCTTCGATGACATTACGATTCGTCTCATATCATATTTCATATCATATCATATCACATCATATCATACCATACCATATGTATATCTATATAACATATAAAATCATCCATATTTGAGAAAATGTCCTCCTTTTAAAATAAAAAGCCTACTATGATTAATGATATACAATTGCAAGCACTTTATGATACTTTTAATCTAATCCTTAGATCGGACTTATCACCATTTACCTTTGTCAATAATGTGTTTCAGGAGCGATGCCACCAGGAAATATTTATTTTGTTGGAACACTTGATCTATAATTTTTCTACACGAGAAACACATTATCATTTCAAAGATTTTGTGGTAGTTCTCATATCACTAAGTTAATCTACTAATCGCTCAAACTAAGCTAATACAGCAATATTAAAACAATTATAGGTTCAAATAGCTCATATATACATAAATATTCTAACGTTACACTTTAACACGCACTTTCACTTCATAACAATGTCGCACATGGCGTCACAGATCATTGTTTTATCTTCTCGAAAAGCAAAAACCGAACAGAATTTACCAACAGTTTACTGTGTAATGAATAAAGCTATGCAATACAATGCATAACCATAACCAATAACAATATAACCATGAGACAGAAGAGGAAAAAAACTTTAAAATGCTTTTTATTTGAAGCTTCTAGCTCAATTTTGAAGGAAGTTGCATAAATTTTTGTAAAATGCAAGATAAATCTCAATTTTTTGGCTTGTTTATGCCACAATCGCACCCCCTGACTGAAACCTGGCTACATATACGCCCCTGCAACCTGTAACATTTGCACAAAATCCTTCTACCGGTATTCGATATATCGCCAAGGCAGACGAACGAACGATAGGATGCATGGGCAGAATGCACTGACGAACAAACGGACGGACAGCTCCTCTTTATTCCTGCCAAACTAGATTGGGAGGGATAACAAAGCAGAAAAGCAGTTTGATTCTACCAGAGCGCCATCTTTATATCATCCTATGAATGGATGGCACATGTCGTCATTTTAATTCAGATATTCAAAATGTTGTCACAGTCACGATGACTATCTGTATGCCAAATGTAACATGTCGAATTGCCACGCTTTGGAGTAATAACACTGATTCCCACAAGTCCAATCCAGCAATCGACCTTATTTTTCAGTATACTGTAGTTGCAATTCTAACGCACTTCTGGCACATTCTTGTTTAGGTTGTCAATGGATCATGTGAACCTAATGATATATTCAGGATAGGCTTGCTCTTGAGTAAATATAATAAACATGTTCGGATCTTGCATGTTATCAACACAAGAATCGTACAAGGCTCCAAACGGTTTTTGAGGATCTCGTGGCGGCGGTTTCACAAAGGACGAGTTCCCCTTTGTATACTTTCCAACCAGCACTTTTACGAGAAACATCGATCCGTCATTTGTGTACCTATCCGAGAACGATGCCTTGGGCGCGAAGTAACTACCTTTTCCATACACTGTGCCAACAGATGAACCACTGACTCGCCAGTCAAACCCTTGTTGGGATATCGCCTCTAAATATTTGGACTGTGTTCCATGAAATAGCAGACGTTCGTCAACAGTAGTGTCGCCTTTTTTACTGGCATTCCTTTGCATCCATTTTCTTTTCCTAAAAATATCATGTCGATTTAAATACAAAGGGAACACCCGGACTATGGATTTATTCATTATTACTAACATTATGGAAGTCAGTATTTATGATTTCTTTTTTATCTTATGTTGCCCCTAGTGCGTTTTCATTTTCATTGCCTCAAGCCCCACGTCCGATACGATGCTATCGATACGTAAAGTATACAATTTTAAACACTGTAATGTATTTTACAATATTCTTCAATTTATACAACGTAGAAAATCTCCCCAAATTTCTCTGGACAAACTAAAAAATATCCAAATACACTGGGGCATAATTTGGTCATAAAAGAGCTTCACAGAATTGGTGGATCGAGCTGTGTATTACTATTAAGGTATCAATTGCAAGTACATGGATAATTTATTCTTGTTCATTACAAAGCATACAGATAATCGACATCCAGATCAAACAGATAAATTAAACTGGATACTCTCCATACAGTTCTCAGTTCTTACCTGATGAAACTTTCCCAGAGTTCCAAGTTTTGCACACGTGATATCTTGTTGATTGTGCTTCCCGCCATTGTTAATTTGAAGTGTTTCTCTACCTTTTTATACTCATCACTTGTTGAAGATAGCTAAACAAAAACAACCAAAATCAGCGAAAACTATAAAACTTCAGTCATGTCATTGTACAAAACATTCAGTGTCAATCATCATTAAAGGTGCAACATACAATTAGTGCAGGGGGACCATTCAACGATCATCGACCAGTGTCAAAATATACTAGTATTTTAATTTGGATATTTCATCAAGACTAACATATATTTTTATCATCTACAAAGAAACCCCCGTGGCTACAGGCCGACGGAACATGTCAGTGGACAGGATATTCCCGATCAGGGGAATTTTTTACACTATTTCCCGAAAAGGTAGCAGTCATTATTTGTTAGTAATATCACATAAGCTTACATTTACAAGGGTGAAGTCATCATCATGTGTGGTACTTGGGGACCAATGAGACGGAACTTCATCTTGGTTGGAAGCAGTCTCTCCCGACCCCCTTGGTGTGTCTTGACTATGCTTAGCAATTCTGGAATGTATATATATATTGTTCACCATTGAAATCATCCTGACTTGTCTACGGTTGTCATATCTTGATATACCCACTGTATCAACAGAACATGTTTCTCAAAATCTTCAGTGATATCAGTGGCGGATCCAGGAACAAACAAAGGGGGGGGGGGGGGCAAATTTTCGGTCCCATGGCCCCCTCCCCCGGATCCGCCACTGGATATTTAATGACAGCCAAATATCATTGGATGTCTAATATAAGATAGATGATTGAAATAATGAAGTACGCTAATGATAATGGGACAGGTGGCATGGCCTTTTTAAAGAAGTCATGGATTGAGATGAAAGTAAACACTTACTTCCCAGGAATGTTCCGAACATCAGGTCGGCGTTTGACGTCTCTTTCAGTAAAGTATACTTCGTTGACATTCTTTTGTTTCATGCCTATACCAGTCGGAGTGAATTTAAGATCATATTTGTGATGACCAGTGGAGAAACGTAATGCATCATTCGGGTTAGCCAAGTAACGTTTCTCAATTTCGTCTTCTGTGAGGTCGGATGACATACCTTTGTCATTCTGGATAAGATATAATAAATGTTTTTTTTAGAACTATATATCAAATTTTTATTAAAATCGTGTTTAGCATCAAGTTTGGAACAGCTATTTGTTGTGATGGTTTATTTTGTATTTTTCAACACTCCATGCCATGAAAAAACATTGTACTTCAGAAAAGGAAATGCAAAATTTTACCTTTTCCCCATATCTGACCCAAGTCCCACTGTCATCCAACCAGTACCAATGCCACAATGTCGTCAGTTTATGCGAATCTAAGCCAGCAACCGATGATTCTGTCGACAATCTCCGGACATCACCGACAATGGTATCAGCTTTACTTTTGAATGACATGGTTGAGAAATTAATCTCAAGGATATCCTCTCTGTTGCCCATACTGCAAAAAAATATTCAAATTCATTAAAAAATACAGTAAACCCGTCTAATCAGAATGCCAAAAGTGTCTGGAATAGGAGCAGTTCACATTGGAACTTACTATGTCGTTGTATAGCAGACATCTGTTTCTGGTTTGGCGAAATTGTCATTGATCTCTATACTTGAACTTTGTGAGAAATCCTGCCAATCTCCTTTGAACTTGAACTGCCATTGGAATGGATGATTCTTATGTTGCCTTCGACATGCGTTTCCATAGTAGCATTTACCTCGGAGAAGATAGCCGCATATCAATTCACCATCACTCAGTTCATTGCCTGAAGTCAAGCGCATATTCTGAAGTGATGATGTCGATGAGTTTCGTCGGGGTGTACTGGCTGCAGCTGCTGGTTGGGATGGTCCTGACTCATCCATCTCTTCCGATAACGTGCAGCCTTCTAAACCTTCCCGGAGAAGTTTCAAAACATCCTTGGGGTTTCTATCAATATTTATATGATTCTTTTCTAGGACAGTCTTGCATTGAGGACTGTAGATATCATGTGAACGCTTACAATTGTTCTTGAAGTTGCAGACATCCATCAGGTAGTGCTTGCAAATATGCAGAAATACACATCTATCCCGTGTGCATCCATCTCCAGCGTTGTAAAACTTGCACCATTTGGGATAGGCCACAGTGCTTCTAGTGTGCCCAAAGACGCGCCTGAGCTCATCTAACCCTAGTTGCCCAAGGCAATGGGCATTGAGAGCTCTCTGATTGTGATCCGTCCCGATATCGTGTCCGTATCTGCAATCTTCCTCTTTACGCTTGCATGTCCCTTGCAAGAAAAACTTACATACATGCATTTCTATACATTGGGGATCTTGACATCCTTTCTTTGAAGCAAACCCTACACATACAGCGAGGTTTGTTTTCACAGACACCAGTTGGTCTCTGTTGGCATTTTCACCTGTGCGAGGTCGCGCCCCACCTCGCGCCGTGCCACCTCGTCCCCTACCCCGTGCCCCACCGCGTACTCCGCCTCTACCTCCTCTAGCATCTAGCAGCGAATCTGTTGGTCCAACTACCGTAATGTGAAAAATCTCCGGGTGGTCGTTCAGGAACCTCTGAAAATTTTGAATATTGTTGATATTGATCCATCGCTTCTGTTTCGTCTGATGAAACAGATCAGTCAAGCCTACCTCTCCCCCACGACGACAAATATGTCCAACTAGTCGTGAAAGTGTACTATGCCTTTCCCCAGAGTTAGGATAAGCCATGATGTGATACAATTGTCAGAAAAAGACTCCCTTCAAATCATAACAAGCCGACTTCCCAGAACTGAAATGATCACTTCCGGTTCTGGTAATAGGGGATTCCCCTTATTACAAAATTATCACTTTATAGTTTTTCGTCTAATTTATAGATGGCAATGAAATCTAATATATTTTTACATTTTCTTTTTTCTTTTTACTTTTAGACTATTTTACTCCGTGTAAACTTAGGCTCCGTGTATACGGCCAATGCTCGTCGTCAACCCCGTCGTCAACATTCTTTTGCCATCCTATTGATAGGTTCGATCACATTTGATGCAGAGATATAATAATCATTGCTGTGGAGTGTTTAATCTGACAAATCATCATTCAAGATCCCCCGTGGCTTCAAAATCCAGAATTTATTCTTCCTTTATACAGGTACGGATTCTGGACACCTGCTTATCATCGGATGCCGACTTATCCCGGGATGCCAATTTGCCAAACAAATGCGATCTCATTGGAACTCATAATCCCAATCATGCACGAACTCCAGTTCGAATCATGCACGGATAGTGGGAAGTCCTCCATATATTACTTATATTAGTGTATATCTTGAATATAAGTAATATATGGAGGACTTCCCACTATCCGTGCAATCATGCCATTCAAAAATGGCAATTTTGCAATCAGATTTAAATGCTTTATATAACTGGTCAGAACGAAGATGGCAGATGAAAAAGCAAGTAAAAGTAGGGAAATAACATTTTACAATCATTCTCGAAATCCGAAATTTTTCCCCCATGACCTCCCGCCTGACCTCTATGTATCTTGGTGACGAACTAATATACTACAGTACCAAAGGTTAAGGTGGTTGTTACCTGAGCCTGAACATTACTTTACGAAAAAGTGTACATTTTGTATTTATTCTGCTTCATATTCAAATTGATCCCCATGCTAAGGTATAGGCTTAAGGCCAGGGTGCATGTTGGGAAATTTTTTGCATTCCTCAATTGAGTCACATGTTATTTTTCAAAGAAGAATAAGTCCTTCCCCACATTGTCTACATATATGTTTTGTAAAATGTATGAAAAACGAGAAAATTCAGTGAAAAAATTCTGAACTGAATTTTTTCACTTAATTTTCTTGTTTTTTATACACTTTATCAAAACATTTTTCTCACAGAGCCTACTTGCTTGATACATAATTTCTCTTTCACTTTATTTTTATGTTTTTCCAAAACAACAACTCTTTATCACATAATTTAATCTTATCCTTGTATATTATATTTTATATGTTAGCTATATATATACTAAAATGTATTCTCTCATATAAATGAGGCAATAAATATATACAATACATAACAAAATATAAACTTATTTTTGCCAACCTAGTCATACTCATATTAATTATACATGCATGATACATATCTCGTTAAGAAGGTCATTAATATAAATGACCCCCTTTTCCATGACATGTTTGTACATCACCTCCTTATCATTAATTAGAATTGATTTGTTATTCCAAATTATTTCACCTTTAACCCCTGAACTGGTTCTAGGCGGCGACCTATTTCTTAATTCTGAATAGTTTCGAAGCAAATTCATATAAAAGGTAGGAACACTGTGTGCCAGAGTTTTAATATCATAATTACACTGCAACAAAAAACTCAGTCCTCCAAGACGCTTGAAATAAACTTGAGGAATAAGCTTCCAGTGACTAGTTCGTGTGTCAAGTAAACGTCTTAACCACATTAATTTCAAGGCTTTCTCCATTGTGAACATATTAATCATTCTGAGACCCCCATCCTCAAAATCCCCTATTAAAGTATTTCGCTTAATTTTCTCACCCTTTCCTCCCCATAAAAAAGAATAGACTAGTCGTTGAGCCTTCGTCAAGATATCATCAGGCGTATTGGTCATTGTCATCGAGTATATTAGCTTCGACACTGCCTGGGACTTAATTATGAGTACCTTTCCATAAAAAGTAAGATCTCGCTTTGACCACAATATAAGAACCTTTTCAAGCATATTTAACTTTCTCTCAAAATTATCCGTGTTATTTGCATTTGTGTCATATGATATTTTTATCCCTAAAAGTCTACTTGGTATCTTTACCCATTTCAGACCAAAAAGGTTTATTTCATTATTATGACGATCACTTCCAATATACATACACTCTGTTTTTTCTCTATTAATACATAAACCTGATATTAGTCTGAAATCTTCAAAGATGTCCAATGCTTTTTGTAATGACGTTACGTCCTTAAGAGTCAACGTGGTATCATCTGCAAAAATCGCTAGTTTTTGACTTGACTCGCCAATGTCAACTCCCTGTACACCATTGTCTTGTCTAATTTTTAAGGCTAGCATCTCTATAACAAGTAAAAAATTCAAGCAACTGATCGGGTCCCCCTGCCTGCATGAGCGCTTAACACTAAACCAGCCAGTCGACACGTTGTTGTTAAGGACGCAACTTTTAATATCATTATTAAACATCTTAACCCATCGGATCAGGTCATCTCCGAAGTTAAACACCCTTGGTACATGCTCAATATAATCAAACTCGACACTGTCGTAGGCTTTGAGAAAATCCACCATACAAACGATTCCATGTATACCCCTCTTCTTGGTGTATTCCAAAAGATCCTCGACATAGCGAATATTTTCTCCGATAAACCTCCCTTCAATAAAAGCAGTTTGATCCGATCCAATAATTTTACCTAGAACAGCATTTATTCTCTGTGCTATTGATTTGGATGCAATTTTATAATCAATATTTAGCAAAGTAATTGGTCGCCAATTTTTTAAATATTCTGAATCTTTTTCTCCCTTCGGTATAAGGGATATAACACCTTGCCTTTGGCTCATTGAAAGAATACCCTTTTCAAATGCAAAATTGAATGAGTTAACTACGGATTCCTTAATGTCATCCCAAAAATGCTTGTACCATTCGGAGCTAAGACCGTCACTTCCGGGTGTTTTTCCATTTTTAAATCTCTTTAAGGCTCTAAAACATTCATCAGTTGTTAAGGTCCCCTCACATGATAATTGTTCATTATTATCTAATTTATCTATTTGTATTCCTTCATCAAAACGTCTAAATTTCTCACAATCTTTTAATGATTTCGATGAATATACAGGTAGTTCTTCATAAAATGCTTTTATTTGATTAAGAATTTCAGTCTCATCCGTAACAATGGCTCCATCAACAATAAGTCTTGTAATGTGTTTTTTATTATGGTTAGATTTTTCCAAATTGAAAAAATACTGAGTACTTTTCTCCCCCTTTTCAACCCATTCAGCCCTTGAGCGTTGGATTGCCCCTTCAGCTTTATACTGATAAATGTCATTTAGCTTAGATTTTGCTTCATCGTATTTCCTACAGTTGTCTGCATTAAGATTATTTCCGTTGACCAGCTCACTGTCTAGATTCTCTAATAATTTAATTAGCTCTATCTCTTGCGCCCTAAGTGCCCTGGCCTTTTGCTTAGAAAACTCAATAGTTCGAACTTTAACTTTGTATTTTAGAAATTCCCACATTTGGATATTATCAAGGTCATTATATTCTGTTTTAACATCTTTCACCAATTTCCTGATAATATTTTGATATTCTTCATTCTCAATCAGTTTATTATTAATTTTCCAAAAGCCAGGGCCTCGTTTATTATTTCCATTTGACATAGTGTCTAGTAATACACATTTGTGATCAGACTTAACCGATGGAGCCATCTTACAGAGGCTACTGTTACCCATATTTCTTTTAATGAACCACATATCTAACCTACTTTTGGAAAGAGAATTTCGCATGTCATCTTTTGCATAAAATTCATAGGTATATTGAATTTTTGTGGGGTTCTGATGCCTCCATATATCAACGAGGTCATAAAAGGAGCAGGGAAAGTATCGCAACAGACTTTTGATAATTTTGACAGTTGATAATTTTTTTGTGAGTAGTTTCTGGCTGTAAAAAGTAAATGCTTGGGAAAGGCGAATCTATAATCTTCAAGAAAAGTTCAAAGAATAGTTTCCAGATCAATTGGATTATCTTATAATCCATGTTTAATCCACCCATCAACAAGCTTTTTCAAAATACATTCGTCATTTTCACTATCGTCCCTCATTTTTTTTACAATTTTTCATGCAAAGTTACATTGTACTTGAACACATGTTTCATCAAGTAAAATATGAAAGGAACTCCATGAAGTTTGTTTTTGAGTTTTTTTTGAAAAAATGAACCTCTTAAAATGCATGTTTACAAAAATAATTTAGGAGTGATGTAAAAGATGGCAATGTTTTTCAATAATAACATGCATAGGTGGGTGAATTACTCATGTGTGTTGTGTTTTAATCCTGCATTCACTGACTGAGTTAGCCTATTGAAAAATCGTAGAGATTAATAATACAAACAGTAATACTATGAATACTTCTACTTCAAGCTCAAATAGCGCTTTCAGGGTCCTGTGTTGAAATACTAGATCACCTTATGTGCATGAATTTTCAAGAGAAACCATCAGTGCAAGCAATTAAATGAAAGCATTATCCGAACATCACTTGAAAAGTACTAAAGTGGTGAAAAATTGCAGGATGTTGACAGAAAATGTGCCTAGGGGAGAGGGTCGTCTCTCAACCCCCCTCCACCCCCTCCCTGATCACGGGACTAATACATGTGATATGGCAAAGTCCAATTCATAGATTAAGTTTCCCTTGCAGTCTTGTTGGCATTTTTATTAGAGTTCATGTTTTGTTTATGTTAATGGGTGAGTGGAAGACCCTTGGGTGGGAATCAAATATAAAATGTTTTCTAAAATATATATTTGAAATACTTTGTGTATGTACAGTCACAAACTCTAGGCAACATTAACTAGTAATGGGGCAACACCCCAACTCAACTGAGTGAATGTGTAAACCATTTAAGGAACAAAAAACATTACATAAAACAAACTCAGCATGCAAACATGTAAAACTGGCATGGCAAAACAATAGATAGTGAAACTGAATAATAAAAGCACATACGAATAGAAAACAAGGGATTAATGAACACTGGTGTAAAGTAATGAAGGGACCTGTTAAAATG